CTGGGGAAGGACAACTTCACCACTTTCATCCCGTTGACCACGGCAGCAGGGGAGGAGCTGTCTCTCCCTGGAGACAGGAGGAGAAAAACGGGTCTGGTACGAGAAATTTTAAAATAACAATTTAAGAGCTCAAACTAACTTATTGATTAATTTTTGGTGTTTGAAGATTTAATTTTTGGAAAAAGGTTTTTTGGTTTTAAAGCTGGATTATTGTTCCAGACCCATAAAGACAAACACTGAGCCGTTTGGTCTTTGCTACATCAGATCCGTTCCTTGCAGCTGAAGCGGCTCGGCTCGCTGCCGCCATCGGCTCGCTGCCGCCATCGGCTCGCTGCCGCCATCGGCTCGCTGCCGCCATCGGCTCGCTGCCGCCATCGGCTCGCCTACCTGTGCTTCCCGCTGACGGAGACGGAGACGAGCTTGACTGCATCAAATCTGAAGCTGACGGTTTCACGTCAGCTCCCTCCTCCTCTTCCTCAGCGGAGTTTCCATCTTCCAGTGTGGAAACTACGAGGGGAAATAAAAACCAAGACATTAATCCACCGCCTCAAACCTGAAAAGTGTAACAAATGTTGCAGTTTTGAGTCCATTAATGCCCTGTGCTGTAGTCCACTTCTTGCTTTTGGAGCGTTCAGACCGAACCGAGACCGAGGTTTGGAGGCGGAGCAGAGTTCGCTTTTTGATTACACATTCACGCCTCCCCGACCGGACCGGACCGTTTAGGAAAACGGATTGAAGCCGTGATGATTTACGCCTTCGTGCTGCTCATTCATATCACTGCTGCTCTGCATGTTGACCGTTTACATCCAGTTTTTCTCAGGGTGTGTTTAGGGCTGAAAAACATCAGTAATTACTGATATCAGTAGATATCAGTAATTATTGACTAGCTTTTGTTCCAAATATCTGAAATACTGCCAAATCGAGATGCAGCCTTTCCTGTTTTACCCTCAATTTCCTCCAGAGACGTTTATCTCATTTTGTCCTTTCGCTACACGCTGCTTTTTCTTTCTAACCAGTTATGATGCACAGCGGTAAAATCTGAAACTGCTGCTGTGCAAGTTGCTCAGCAGGTTGTTGCTAGGTAACCAAAGAGAGAGAGGGTTAGTTGATGCCACCATCCTAGCTTAGCCAGCCACACAAGATGATGCTCTGCCTACATCTCCCAGAATGCTGTGCGGTTCTGGATCGGAGTTCGGTGAAATTGTTGAACATTTTATTAGACACATTTTCAACTGATATTGATAACATATCTATTACGATGTTTATTGTTACTGATTGTTTTTCCATTGAACACATAATTGCACAATTGAACATTTAGAAAAAAACGTTTTCTTAATGGAAACACAGCAATTTCTCAAAAATTCCCATTTTTTTATAAAGTTCTGATGCATGGATGAGGTTTATTTTTTTGGCTGTATCAAAATTTAATGGAAAAACTACACTGCATACCTGTGTTTGTGTTTGTAGGTGAGCGGTTCTGCTCCTCATCCTCCTCCTTCATCAGAGCTTCCTGCTCCATCTGGTCCACCGTCCCGATGTCCATCATCTCGTCAAGGTCGTCGGCTGCAGACGCGCTCAGCTTAGCAGCAAATGACGATTTCTCCTCTGATGTCCTGCTGTCCTCTTCCTCCGCCTCCATCCTGCTCTCTTCCTCCTCCATGTTCTCCTCTTCTTCCTCCTTCCTGTTCTCCTCTTCTTCCTCCTTCCTGTTCTCCTCTTCTTCCTCCTTCCTGTTCTCCTCCCCTTCCTCCTTCCTGTTCTCCTCCCCTTCCTCCTTCCTGTTCTCCTCCCCTT